AGCCATAGCCTCTTAATAATAAAAGTGTCATTCCAAGTAAAACGCGATTTTAACAATTGTTGGAAGCACAGTCAGTTAAGCAGGTCAGAGGTTCGAAACTCAACATAAACTGTCGATAATTTTGGATACAAATATTCATTTTTTTGTTTTCCAAATTAGCTCTTCTTTTTATTAAATTTAGGGGATAACATTTGCCTACATCTTACACAAATTAAATACAATTTCACTTATTAATAATTTGATATGTACTATCACGAGGGGCGCTGCCTCGACCCCCGTGACCTGACCGGACAGGTTGTTCTCCATCTGGGGCGTTGCCCCCCCAACCCCTGCAGTCCCCACTAGGGACGTTGAACTTTATTGTTATAAACTTCTTTGTTGTTTAAGTTGTGGTGCTGAAACTATATTTTCTTTTGGCCAATTTTGTCCATTCCTTGGCTCTAGGAATATTAAGCAAGGTTTATGCGATTGTTTCGTGAATCATGATTGGATAAACTGCTAGTGAAAGGCAACCTTTCATATTGGAGATGGTCCTTGGTGGTTTAGATTGCGGTAGCAATAAATAACTTTCTCTCTATCGCGTTGTTTTTATACCTGACTCTATATTAATTGTGATTTCCAAAATACGGGGTATGTTATTTTTTGTTCCAGTGAGATTGTTTTCAAACAATCTTGATACACCGTAGGATTATCATAATTTTTTGTATTGCATACATTGAATACTTTTTACTATATCGTTGTGAAGTTCACTAACTAGATGCATTTGTGTAACTGAGATGTAGCTGCTATCATTGATGGCTACTTGTTTGCTTCATTTTTTACTCTATTTTATTTGTCAGGGTCATTAATAGAGAGAGATTCTATGTTGTCAAGCATTTGAAAAATGAGGCATGACCATTTGATGATTAATTCTTTTTTTTCAGGTTGCTGATGCTCTGTATTATAATGCACCATTGGCGCTCAATGTTATGCAAAAGCTTAACATTGTAATAGAAATATTTAATCTTTGGTTCCAAACGTTGGAACAAAAAGTGGAGTGCGTGCTAATTTTAAAAGGTATGCACTTGTTTAGATTTCTTTCTATTTTGCCTCCATTTTCTGCCAGAGAGACTTGCTTAAGGATTCATATCATGTTAATCTTGCAGGGAACAAGATAAAAAAGTATGCTGCTTGGGCTTAACATCATTCATCCCTCTCTTTGCCGATCAGTTGCCGGGAGAGGCTTTGAAATTTGGATACATGATGAAATTATCTGTGCGATTTTCATATGTTTTTGTTGTTGCAAAGTTTATTAATATTCTTTGATCAGAATCAAATAAAGTTTGTAACAGAGAATACAAGAAAATCATGATCAGAATTATCTCAAAAGATTCAGGTGTTCTTAAGTCCTTGTACACTAATCAAAACAAAATTTATACACAACTCGTGCAACGCAGGTGACATCGACCAGTACCCTAGAAAGTGGAGCTTAAAATGGATATTAATACCTTGGCAAAAAAGGTATAAATTATTTTTAACAGTTTGAGTTCGTTTCTTGGCATCTGTGGGGATCTGTATTTTTGCAACTAAATGAAAAGCTAATCCATAACTCAATATTAATCTTGAGCAAGAGTTTGAATAAATAAACAAACATTGTGTAATATTTTTTTGTTCGGTGCAATTAGTAACTTAAAAATAAGTTTAGTAAGCAGTCATTTAATTAGCTCATCAATTTAATGTTGTCAATATGTCAATTACGATTTTCGTCGAACATGTGATAATTTTCGTAAGATGGAAGTAAGAAATTTTAGTATAGTAATGGATCGATAATCGTTTGAATAGTTAAAGAGAGGAATGATCAACATTGTTTTTATTCAATAAGCAAAAAGTAATCAATGAATAAGTTAAATGGCCATTAATTTATTTAAGATAAGAGTGTAGTATTAAAACTAAACAGAAATGATCTAATGAGCACCGGTGCTCATCTTATCCTAAGCACCAATGAGTTGGCACATTAATTCATTGGTGGATTGGAACTCACAAAATCTTTATCCACCAATGAATTAATGTGCCAACTCATCGGTGCTTAGGATAAGATGAGCACCGGTGCTCATTAGATCATTTCTGTATATATATAT